CGTTTCGTATAGCCGATTTCCCTTGGCCGTGGCCTTGGGATAGCCCCAAGCCTGATGTGGGGCGTTGAAGTCGCCAACAATGAGAAGATTTTGTTGGGATAAGGTTAAATCACTCGAGAATATGCGTTCAAATGCGTCTTTACGGTGACTAGGAGGGCTGTATATATTAAGTACGAAAAGACTGGGGGAATGCCTGCGCGTGGGGAGGAGTTCAACTAGAACGTGTCCAATTGAGGTCCCCGCAATGGTGTGTTGCTTAGCCGTAATGTGGTTAGCAATTAGCGTGGCCACCTGCGGATGGTCTGGGGAGGTAAAGGCTTGGTAGCCTGCTAGGGTGGGGATGATACCAGTTTCCTGCAGGGCAAGTACTTCTGGAGGGAATTTCTGATGGGCAATGTGCTGCGCAAGAGCAGCGCGTTTCCTGCGGTACCCTCGACAGTTCCATTGCCACACCCGAGTTGGGTTACAACTCGGTGGGCGTCGTGCCGTCATCGTGAGGCAGGGATAGTGGGGGGTATGGTTGGCAGCGTGTTTCTATCCGCCTATTTTTGCGGGTGGTGTAGAAATCCCGCTTGGCTTGTTTTAAGTCATGAATGTCGGCCTGGATTTGGTCGAATTTTTGGTTGTGGGCGCGGATGTTATCTGTAACCTCTTTAAGGGTGTGGCAGATTGTTTCTGCGGAAGGGATACTCGTAGTAACGGGGGCAGCAGGATCAGTGTCTCGCCGCTCCTGCGCAGTAATGCGCCCCTCCATGCGAGTGAGGCGCTCCATGATTTGGAGGAGGAGATTTTCTACCCTCTCTTGCCGCGTATCAGCTAGGGAGATTGTTGTGGGTGCCGCGGGAGGGGGGGGGGGGGTAATGGGTTGGTGGTTGGGGGCAAGGTCTGAGACCCGGTGAGCCGCGTCGCCCAGCTCACCTGCTGCGTGTCGGTGTAGGGCTCCGTCCGGGTGTTGTCCGATTGAAGAGCCTGGCCACTGGTGGCTTCCTGCTTGGCGGATGCTCCCGCCGGTGTCTGTTTGGGCCGGGCAGGTTTCCCCGAGGTTGCTGGCCAGGACGGGAATTTGGGCGAGAGGCCGGGCGGGATTGGGAGCGGGTCTGGTTCTGTTGTCGCCTGTTGTTGCTGCGGTCACGGCCTGTGTTGCCGTGTCCTCCCCTCCTACTTGGGCGGCTGACGCGCTGAGTTGCTCGGGGTTTGGCAAACCGCTGCGGACAGCTTGTATCATTGGTGGGATGGTCGCCGCGGCACTGGGTGCACTTCGGGGCGCACACATGGTCGGTTGGGGGGTTGGGTACTGCACACTTGAGGCATATTTTTATGTGCGGCGTGGGGCAGACGTCGGCCCGATGCCCCGCCACCAGACATTTAGTGCAAACCTGTCTGATGGGCCGGTAGGGGAAGCAGCGCTGAAGCGCGCTCTGGTACTGGACGTACGGGGGGATCTTCCGTCCCTCAAACGTGACGAGGGCCGTGCCAGTGTTGCCCAGCAGACGGGCATGCAGGATCCTGTATCCTGGGGCCTCTAGGTGATGGAGGAGTTTTTCGGGGCTGGAACCCGGTTCGATGTCGTGGACTACCCCTTTGATGGAGTTGTCCGGGGAGGCCACATACGTGTATGTTGGGTAGTCCTTCCCGCCAAGTCGTAGGTGGTGGATCTGGGTGATGGCTTGAACGACCTCTATGTGGGCCGTGCTTACTATCACGATGTTGCGGTCGTGATTGAGTTGGAGTTTGGTTGCAGCGTGTAGTTCCTCGATGGTGATCTTAGCCTCCGTGATGATGTGTTGGGCAACCTGGTACGGTTTCCAATTGGAGAGGTTGAGGCCGTCTCGCGGGCGCATGACGACTTTGAATTCTCCCCTCGGCAGCGGGGGTAGGCGCTGAGGTTTTTTCTGTGGACGGGGTATCGGTGGGCTGGGCTGTAGGGGATTGCCGGTGGTGAGATCCACTTCAGCGGTTGGAATCGCTCTCAACTTGTGCCCGCGGTAGTAGGCTGTGTACCAGCCGTCGCTACGGGTATTGGTGGAATCTCCTGCTGTGGTAGTTTCCATGTCAGTTAGGCAGGTTTCTGGCGTTGACGAATCCATCGTGGTTGTAGTTCAGGCCGGGACGCTCGCTGCGGCGCTGCGAAAATGGAGCGCTGCCGGCGCGGAGGTGGCTCTCATTCCAAGAGCTCTGAGCTTTGGTGGGCTTAGTGCGGCGAGGCCACACTCAGAGATTAAGAACGTCCAAAAAGTAGGTTTCCGGGCCGCTCACTTGGTCGATGATGGTATTGGCAGGACCGGAACGGTGAGAGGCGTTAATTTATCCTATCTTCAGGAGAGACCGATGAGATGGACCGGGTTACTGAGAGAAGAACTCGCAGGGGAATATGTGGGATTTTTCCGCTGGCTCCGACCGTCGTCTTCTTTTCTTCTCGGCGGACGTGCAGCGGCGGGCCGACGGAGCGGGGCGGTGCGGTGTTTATCGACGACGTGAAGTACCTCCAAGAACGACGGGGCGCTGCCGCTCTCCCAACACTAGGCATCACAACGGCGCCCCTGCATTGGTGTCCAACAACCTAAACGTAATTATCGACGGCCACGACGCATCGGCACTCGTGGACACCGGAGCAGACTATTCAGCCTTGAATGGGAGGCTCTCTCACCACCATCATTAAGTCATGACGGCGTGGGATGGACCTCAAATACCAACTGCCGGAGGACACCTCATTACAACAGTCGGGAGATGTATTGCTCTCGTCGAGATGCACTATGAGACGTGCCCTGTGAAGTTCGTTGTTCTGGAAGACTGTGCGAGGGACGTTATCCTCGGAATGGGCTTTCTCTCCGAGCATGGCGCCGTCATCGACCTCAGAGCAAACCATTTGACGCTGCGAAAGCCTGTTCTGCCGCCGGTGGAGACCAACGCGACGTCAACCGCGGTCCAAGCTATTGCCAACCATGTGAGCCTGCCTCCGCGGTCGAGTGTTTTCGTAACCGTTGTAACCGACGCAGCCATGCGCGGTGAAGGTCTTCTGGAAGGCAGCGTCCAAATGCTCTTTGAACAACAAAGAATTGGCGTCGCACGATACGTAATGGATCTAAAAAAAAAAAGAACGGCAATTAGAGGGAATAAATAAAAGAACATTCCGCTCCCCGAAATCAAACCCCTATCGTCCGCGCAACAACCAAGTGCGGTAACCATTCGGCTACGCACGCGTTCGCTCAGCCGACATGCGTGGCAATATTCCACATTCTTATTTTTTGCCTCGTAACATCTCTTTGAGGGGTGTATCTAACACAGGTTATTATAGCGCCAAACGGAGTAACACGAGAAAGTCACTAAAATGAAGGACAGGAAAGGAAATATATTGACGTTCACAAGTTTGACCAGCGTATGCTTTGTTTGTTTGAATTATGTCCTGAATCGTATTATTCATGCTATAGTTTTACGTATACATCTGCGTTCATAACTATGGTTGTAATGGCAGATCCGAAGCAAACATTGAAATCTCTATGGGGCCTTTGAAAATAATTCATATCGAAGCGTTTAGGAGCGTACGTGTCTCCGTCAGAGCTACTCGCGGGTCTCTAATTTGCGCAAAGCGTAATCAGAATTTTAGCTGCTAAAAGTGATCACTAAATTACACATCTAAATACTCTTTTGGCTCGTGGCTTAAGAGAGTCACATTCTCAGAAAGGAGGAATTCTGCTCTTCGTATGGACCCTCTTTTGTGCGTCCAAGGCGTAGCTTTCGTCATTCTCAAAGGTTTACCCACCACTCCAAATTTAGCTTTTTTTTTCTCTTGCCTGCCCATGGCTTCGACAACATTGTTCTCCGAAGCGCTGACTGGCTTACTGGGACCGTAGCCTTCGCGTTTTACCAAGTTATGATGGGACGAATAAAGTTATATGACATGCGTCGTTGTACGTTAGTTATGGACCTGAATTACGCCAACACAAAGTGTACGGTATTTTAGAGAACAGCTCTTAGGCGCCCGTTTCCGGCTTGAGTGGCGTCGGCGTCGGCGTCGGCGTCAGCGTCCGCGTAACCACACGGAGCATTATGGTAAGGTTCCCATAATGCAACGAGTGGAACCGCCGTGATGTCACCCTTCACCCTCGTGAAGTCACTCGTGACGTCACGAGGGTCACTGACGACGTCACGAGGGCGACGGTTTGGCACCGCGCGTTGCATTATGGGAAACGTCCATAATGCATCGCGGTGACGTTTCGGCATCATGCCGAAACGTAACCCTCGTGAGGTTACCCCTGGCCCTTGTGACGTTTCGGCACGGTGTCGTTTCCCTCGTGACGTCACGAGTGACGTCACGGGGGTCACGAGCGATGTCACGAGGGTCCCGCGCGTTGCATTATAAGAAAAGTCCCAAGATGCAACCCGCGGGTTTCACTCGTGACCCGCCCGTTGCATTATGGAACTTTCCATTATATTTTATTGCGCAACACTTAGGCGCCCGTTTCCGGCTCTAGCGCCGAAGAGGACGGGAGTAAAAGGGAGTAGAAGGGGAAGAGGAGGGGAGGAGGTCGAAGGATGAGTGGAGGAGGAGGTGAGAAAGGGGGAGGAGGGAGGAGGGGTACACCCTTCCCCCCAGTACCCTCCCTCCTTTTCCTCAAGAGCTACGCTCCAATTCGTCGTTACAGGGTGTTGTAAACCTCTTTCATTTTTATATTTGTACTTGCTATGTAGGTACCAAAATCCAACAGTTGTAAAATTTTGCAATTCTGAGCCTTTCCCCGTCATTCGTGGTAGGATCGTTGTTCTATTTTAGACTTTGCTTTTGTTCTGACCAGGGAACACGACCAAGCAGGCAGGTTCTAGCTGGACTCCAACAAAACAAGGACCCGAAATGCCTATGCATATGAGAGTGATGTCGTAAAGCGCTATCAGACACGGTTGATATAAAGTGTGTCATCGATACTCTTGCATTTTATTTTCGAGTTTGTGTTGTGCAGTAATGTATTTCCACCATAAGCGATGTTTCGCCTTTGCTTTTGCAGGAGCACTCTCAAGCACGTCCGAAAAAGCGAACCTCTACTTGGACACCCTGCTCAGCGATCTTTTGCCAAACGCAGTTCGTGCCCTCAACCTAGATCCTGCACCAGTTTCATCCACCAACGTGACGGTGCCCTCCACCGGATTCACGAACCATGATCTGAGGGTCGTCCTCACAAATATACGACTGCACGGACTGGCGAGTAGACTGCGTCGCCGCGGCGACTGCAACGAGCCCGCATGGAAAGGCGCTAGTCTGACCACTTCCTGCTATGTGAGCTTGGATGGGCTTCGACTTAGCTACGACGCATCCGCCCGAGGTTTTGACTGGCTCGGATCCCGCGTCAAATTTGCTTTCCAGGCTGTGCTTTCCAAGGCAAACGCCTACATCGACGTCACCAGCGCATTCGGTAAGAGCAAAGGTGCTACTCCAAGTCGTGTTTCTATACTGCATTTTAAACCTCGTGGTGGGGGCTATCGGCAGGGCGGGCGTGACGTTTTGCATAGAGCTAGAGCAGTGGATATTCCAACTTACTCAAGTAACGCCACACATTGAACATCACTCCTGCGCTGCTATTTATTGTCAGCGACTGGTGGAGAGTTTAAGCTATAATCGGTCATGCTCGAGTGTCTTAAACATATTTTATTAGTATGACCTCACTTTTGTAGTATCAGGTGCCGATCGTGAATGATCGCAGGAAAAATACAAAGGAAAAGCCTGATCCGGAAAGTTGGCGAAGAACGGGCCAAAGTTAAGAGTGCAAGATGGCGTGAGATCGTTTCATGCACTCCAGAGCAAAAAAGAGTGAACGTTAAAACAATGTGCGCCACCACCCTAAGATGCGTACGCATTAAGGCTATATTACATTCACTGTGCGTAACAGCGTCAAACTACCAAAGCAAGCGCGCGACAGTATCAAGTGCCTCACTGCACAAAGACACTTGCGAATGAGATGCTTGGTACAACCACGCGCTCGCTCAAGCAGCTTAGAGAGGTCTGGCGTGGCCCGTACACAATATAGTCTGTTTTATCCGCTATGAGTGTGCACCGAGAGACAGGGGGAGAAGAGAAGACAAGAGCGCGCGAAGATGCCGAAATGCCGAGCTCTGACTAAAAGGATTGGTTTCTAGACGTGAACCTAGCTACATTCGTCTCTACTTACTCTGCGAACACGTTCGAACGCAAACGCAGATGGCTGGTCGCCGACGTTTGGCAATCGAACCCGTTCGAAGTTTGAGTAGAGACCAAGGCAGCTAGCTTCGCGTGAACCCACTAATTAGTCCAATCAGACCTCGGCGTTCTGGCCTAGGGTCCGGCATTGTTTGAGCTCATAAAGTCCTTGTGAGCAGCGGGAGTTTTTGTTCTCTTTGATACCGAGCTACCATGAATAAACACAATCAATTATTCACGTTCTTGGGGCAAAAAAGGAAAAAAAAACACAACTCTTGGGAGAGGACATGTAATAACACGAGAATACACGGTTCGCCAAGATGATAAGGGCAACCAAAAATCGTGATTACATATTTACGCCAATTTACGTTACGAACAAACTCGCGGATTACGTTCGTTCACACCTGGTAAGTGTGAGGCGAAACGTCTGCGAAAGCGCTGTGACGACCGCGACGATATCACAGAGGTGTGACGTCACAGTCATGTGTTGGTTCATACGTTTTATGTTTCAATGATTTGAATATAACACTATATGTAATCCATAAAAATAGCTTGACGTAGTAAGCGGACGCGGCACGTTGTTGGGCGTGTTCACATATATCACATCAATGTGAAATCTGTGTATTCGGTAGACCTAGTGATGATGCAAGCCATAATCAACAGTCGAATTTAGAAATCAGGAATACACGGAGTAAAAATATCACTTTAATGAAGCTAGGAACAAAGCTGCTTGAAGATTTAATCATATAAATATTCAATTCTTTGATTAACTTGGGGGTCGAAAACAGCTTGGCGTGCTACTCAGATTATTGTTTCATAAGCTGTATCCACGGGACGTAAATTAATTTCGCGTTGTTTTTTCGAGCGTGCCAGATGCCCATAGTTTGAGTGAAAGCAAAGCCCCCCGATATTCTAGCTTTTATTTAAACACACATTTAAGTAATATTTTTGCCTTGCCGTCCATTTTTCAGGTGGTCACGCTACTCTAAAAACTCTGCGTGCTCCCGACCTCAAGTTCAAAGTAACCCAGGACCGGCGGATTAATCTGAACCCACTCAGGCAACGCACACTGGAGGGGCGCATCGCCCAGATCTCTCGCCTGTCTCTCGTTAATGTTCTTCAAGGCAAGTTCAAGGAGGCTTTCAACGATGCTTTGGCGATGGCACCGTTCCCAGGGGCATGAAGCGTGGCTCGCGAAAATTGTTCAATAAAATGTCAACAATAACGTCTTCGGAAGTAGCGTGAGTAGTGCGGCTGGCACCCGTGAGTGCGATTACGAGCTCAATAGTGCTTCGGCAGTTGTACGTACGCGCTCACACGAGCAAGGACAACAGCGGTGGCGTGATGCTCTGCTTGCAATTCTGTATGCATTACCCTGGGAGATGCCACATAGTTAAACATTTTTAATCCCCTAAAAGTGTAAATTAGCTTGTTCCAGGGCTAAAAGGCACCCAGTCAGCTTTCCGTGGGGAGAGGGGGCCGGTCAGGATGGTGACGACCGATGATGATGTTCGCGCGATGCAAGTACCCCGGGAAGTCGAATAAGAAAAAAAAACAACAAAAAAACTAAAAGTTGTTCGATCTTGCTGGACACATTACAACGTTGGTAGGTATATAATGGCCAGTGTGGCCACGTTGATTTTAAAACAAACCGACAAGTCAACCGTAATATACAAAACTTCCGAAATGAGAACCCATACTTTAGTCCCCAGTCTCAAGAGCCGAATATTCCTGATCTCAAAAGCCGAATCCTCGATAATCCTCTCGGCAGCCCCTTTGTAGACTCACAGGGGCCTCCTTTCCCTCCAGAGATGGACCAATCACTTCAAATTTCACCACTCCCACGTGGTACACTGTCGTCCAATGGCCGGCGAGCTGTCAGCCTGACGCTCCAACCGCCAAATCCAAATTCCTTGTAGACTCGGTCTCTGCAATTTTCTCAGTCTGGCTGGCGACAAGAGCTAAATTATTGCATCGGGCAAAAAGCGACAATTTTACACTAAGCGGTGAAACCCTCTATATGCAGGCACACTCGGTTAAAAGCCGCAAGCAGCTCCAAGCACGTGTTCTCCCCGCACCGCCTCTCGAAACCCGAGACATTCGTTAACGACCGGGGTCCGACTCCTCTCCACCCAGCCCCGCGGCTGCTCGAAGCCCCCCGCGCGTGGGGGCCGAATACGCCCAAAATTGCAGACACGAACATAGGCAGATAAAAAAAAATGCCGACGCAACTGCAGAAAGATACGTTTCTAAAACAAATCTTACTTATTTCTAACAAAATTTTTCGTTACTTAACACACCCTAAGGGTGTCAGACGACATTCTGAGGAATGTTTCGTTTTTGTATGATGATCCTGCCACACTGGTAATATAAAACTGTCTGTGTTTGAAGCAAACATGCGTGCTTTTGACATGCTTGAGTTGCTTTCGCACTTAGGTACATAATGTTCCGTATGCCATAGCTGTAAGACTCTAAAAATATGCTTCTGATCTGCACAGGGCTCTGGCCTGCCCACCCTGAATGGGTAAAGAATTTCTCAGCGGGTTGGGTTTCGCTGGCGAGGACGGAAGAACAAAAAGTTAACATATTACGTTGTCTTGAATAATGTTAGATGATCGGTGGAAATTATCTAGAAAACAATTAATGGAGAAAAATTAATTGGCACAGCTGAGGGGCAGCCATGACAGGGAAAAATTGGGACTCCCTCCCGCGTGGCTTGCCCCTAGATTTCGACCCTGTATCTCAGTGGGTTCAGTGCTGGAGTAACGCCGACAGGGTTTGACCAGAGGAAAATTGGCACCTCCGTCGCCGGCGTGTGAAGGCGATCGAAGGATAAGGCTTTCTAGCTTTTTCCTTGAATCCCCCACATGTCATTCTAGCGACATTCCACACTGCCTGGAGGGAGTTACAGAAATGCAAAGGGGAAAAAATTGGCATACAAAAACGAAACAAAATTGTTTTAGGGGGGGGGGGGGTTAAGTTAGGTGGCGCAAGCTACCGCCCGTTATAAAGGCAACGGCCGTTGGCATCGATTCATCAGAGCCGTATATGTAGAGAGTTTGGCCATTCGTTGGGAAGTATAGGGAACGAGGTAGAGGGGCTTAGAGCGATAAACCGGGGTTCCGGTCTGCACTCGAAAGTGACGCCCATAAGGCGGCTGCCATTGTACGCAAATTTGACCACTCGTCACATGACCGAACCAAATGCGTGACGTCACAGGAAAGATGGCAGCGCCCATGCGGCGGCTGGCCCCAGCTGGGCCGGAGCTTGTCGAATACTTTGTTGGTTGTCGTTCGTTTCGGCGAGTTGATTTCAGACGCGGAAGCCGTCATATGAGGCTGGCCGAAAGCGAGTTCAGAGTTCAGCGTGGTGTTTGACGTACGTATAACGTGAAAATACGGAGGAACGGTGTGCATTTCGCTGGTTACCGTGTGCATTTCGCTGGTGACCGTGTGCATTTCGCTGGTGAACGACCGGGATATTGCCACGGAAGAAACAATCTGACCTACCTTGCTCGGAACTCGGATTGATTCGGATACTGCTAGGATAAAATTTTAGGCGACGTTTCTGCTCTCTCGTTGACCATCGGAATCTTCGAGGTTTGCAGTGAAGCGTGTGCAATATATTTGGATATACAGTTTAGCGACGGAAATTGCGTTAGTCGTGCTTGGCGGTGTGCAATCGTGGTTCAGCTTCGGTCAAATGACCGAGGGCTCACTTTGGTTGTGCGGCGCACCGGAAAGCTGCCTTGAAGCTGGTAGTTCTTTTGCCATGCTTTATGTGATGCTGTGCTGCTTCCGAAATTGCTCCGGCGTAGACGTGCACTTTGACGGAGCACAGGTGTGCGGCGCACCGAAGAGCTGCCTTCAAGCTGGTAGTTCTTTTGCCATGCTTTATGTGATGCTGTGCTGCTTCCGAAATTGCTCCGGCGTAGACATGCACTTTCACGGAGCACAGGTGTAGCAGATGGTATTGATCCCGCTGGTCTGTCGCACGTTTCGTCAACACAAACGTTTCATCCACACTCGTTACGCGAATTGCAAGCTGTAGGGACATTTCATCGAGCGTGCTACCTACCCAGCTCACGCCGCTTTGTGGCAACAGTCTGCAGTGGCTCATTACCAGAAAAGTGGTCCCACATCCATTTCAGTTCAGTTCGTCCACGGCACTCGCCAAACCCCGAAGGAGAGGGTTTATTCAAACAGAATGCCACTAAAGCAATACAGATTCTTCAGTGGTCAGGATAGACTCTCTTCTGCGAGTTTTGTTATATTGTCATGGATCCTTGTTCCAGTCCTATCTTCTATCAATATTCACTATTCTGAAACTCTGCAGGTCATGCTCGGCTGTCATCGTACGTTCTGGTGGAGGTGCTGCGTACTTTACCGATAGCCCTTCACTCTTTGTGAACCCGGCGGCTCCTCAGCCGAGTTGCCCGATAATGGGACACGGGTGGCGGACTATCCTGCGTCTTATACCCCCGGCGAGCCGTAAGAAAAGTCCTAACCCGAGCCTGGCAGAATGACCACAAGACGAGCGAGTACCACAAGGAGTAACCTCGGAAATACACCACGAAGCACCTAAAATCCGAGCCAGTTGCTGCTACCAGGAAAAACCACCGGAATTCGGTCTCCTGCCTGAAAAACCGAAGCTGACTAAGCCAACAATGACAAACCTGCAGCAGCAAACCGCGTCCCCTCCCACCATTATTTGCATGCCTGTCGCAAATCACACTCCGACGCTTTTTCACGCAAGGTGTATGAAGACGTCAAGGATTGGATTGAACAATATGACAGTGCCGCCCGCCACATTGGGGGGACAGACAACCATCTGCTGCGGAACCTATACTTCTCGTGGAAGAAACTGCCGGCGCTGGTCTGAGAACCATGGATCCTCCTTAACGTCATGGGAAGTCTCCAAGATCGACCTGAAGCGCGCATTCGTCAGCCAACATCAACGAGAGAGAGCCGTATTCTTGATTCTGTCCAGGACACTGCCCAACGAGAGCGCCACCGCATTCGTGGAGGATGTTTTGTGCTTGATCGAGCGCCCACGCCCACGCCCACGCCGACCTTGATGCTACAGAAGACAAGAACCTAAGAATCCCATGTCCCTCATGTGAGGGACAACACCTTCGGCAGCCTTGTCCGCCACCCCCCAACAACAGTCGAAGTGTTCATATCACCGAGGCTTCCAACATTGAATGTGCACGGCATGCTCGAGACTGTCACTATGACCAACTTCCCGGCGTCTCGACGCTCGAGTTGTCCAGCTGCTACTTCGACGCCAGCCTCCCAGGCAGCCCCGACATCATCCACGACGTTGTCTGGGAGGAGATCAGGAAGCTACTTCCTGCCATCAGTTGCCCGGCTTTTATTTTGATTGCCGAGATTGTTTCGAAACAAGTTTGACAGGTATTTTAACCGAGACTTCTGCGAGCGAAGCGGCATCTGACAAACCAAGGGCAACTTACGCCACAATGGTACGACGACCGCCACCGGCTGCCCCTTAGTATTCAATGCCAATTCAATGAGACACCCCAACGCCGAAGCATTCCCGACATCGTGTGTAGGTCTGTGCTCAACAAAGTACACCGAGGAAAACGTAAGTGATGCGAATGGCCGACCGAAAACCACTTTGCTACCATTGCATGAAGCCGACCATGTCTACCAATGCTGCCCGTACCAATGAATTGGTCTGCGAGGGTTCGTGCCGAACGACCCTCGATCACGTCTCGAAGAGCGACCACGGGAGATTAAGCATTACCTTTGGCGACCTTTGTCCCTGATGCCGAAGGCGCTGAATCAAAAATGCTGAATCCCTGATTACCCCGAAGCTCCTGATGTCATTACCTCAACGAGAGGTAAGCACGACAAAGCAGGTGAGCGGCAATGCAGTGACAGTGGTTTTGGTGTTGGTTGTCGTCCAAGGACAATACCTAAAAATTTGCTGACACCAATTATCTGTGTCCACTCCTCAAAGCACACAATTTCCAACTTTGCGGGAGAATGCCGCTGAGTGACTTGAAGGAATAGAATGGTTGGTTGCTCTCAAAAGTGACCTGCAAGCATCACCAGACTTGGATAGCAAACATACATTGTTGCCAGCTATCAAGTCAACGGTACAGGAAAAGGCACAGCCACGTAAGCGATACATGCCCGAGCTTGCTGCATTGATGCAGAAAACTACCAGGAAACTTTTCGGATTAGAAACCAGCCCTGCAGCTTCA